TACAGGTTTTTTGCGTAAAAGTTTTTTAAACTAAGGAGGGAAAGTTTAAACCAGTCCTGGATTATGGGGGCTACAACCCAATGTCTCGCAGTTTTATTTTAATGAGATTTTTTCACCACTTTAATAAGAAAAAATGCCACCTGCTAAAAAGTATCCCATGATCCTACAAGTCTTAATCCAGAACTGGGTTTAAAAACTACGGTATTTTAAGAGCTTAAAAAATTTAGACCTATTTATGTAAATCTCTTTATCTGCGTTTACTATCCACCACAAACACTGCCCACATACTTCAGAGTATAGTTGAATAGTTTTCGTTATGCATGCGATATTTTAAATTAAACATTGTAAACTAATCAATTTATATTTACGATCACGAATTTGTAATGTCTTGACAAAAAACTAAAAAAAAAAATTATTTTTGAAAACTTATCTACTTATTATTATTATTATTATTTTAATTTTGTTATTTAGGAGTTCCAAGAAGACCTAACGGTCTTGTCACAGAGCACCGCGGAAGTACATTTAACAAGGAAGGTCGCGCCTCTTTCCTTACCGTGACGCGAAAATATGTGAAGCGTTTGTTTTAAACCTCCTCTCCTAAAGCAAGCGCTCTAACCACTGCGTCTCGGCCGCATTTTTTTATTTTGATTCAAAACTAATTTGTTTCTATTACTTGTTGCAATTTTTTTATTTTGATCGGTTTCTAAATTTAGTTTCTAAAAAGCAATGTATTCTCGAGCGAAGTGAAACGAAACCAAGATTTTTTAAATAACCTTTTAACACCTTTTAAATATATAATATTTGCGTTTTATACACAATAAAAATAATAACTATTATTTATTTTAACTCAAATTTATCTAACCAAAATATAAGTTTTAATTCAAAGTTGCGTAACTTTATTCTCAGAGAAATCGTATCGGAGGCCAACGATAATAAAATTAAAAAAAACAAAACAGAATGTCTTTGAAATTTTCTAAAAAAAAATTATTTTCTTAGGAATATTTGGTTAAACAGAAAGTATAGAATTTTTGATACCAACCCCCTTCTTCCTTATTTAGAAATTATTATAGAAATTAGTTTGGGAAAAAGGGCGTCACTCTTACTGAGTATTTGCTGGAATTCGGCGTGACTCCGGCCATAGCTATAAGAAAGATATACTTAAAGAAATGTGTTCTTATGACTATGCTCCGGCATCCGGCATTTTTTGTTGAAGTGTTATAAAACAATTAAAATAGTTACATAACAATTTAAAATATTTTGAGCAGCTGTTGAACGATAAATTTCACTTAGATCATTAGAGGAATAGTTATCTTGTACACCTGTTGTACACCCGTTGTACACCCGTTGTACACCCGTTGATAGATGAAATGATAATATATATATGCACAAGATGTTGAGCATATATTTTAGTTAATCTTAAAAACCTTGATGTCAACACTCAAATCAATAGAAACTGGATGCAAGTAAAAAAAAGCGTTTTCGTCAAAGTGATCATTTATTTTATGAATTTGTTTGGGGAAATTTGATAGTAAGTAAAGATTTAATTTTTTATGAATTCTCGTTATATTAATTTATTGAGTTCGAATATATTTAATATATAAAGTTTATTTAAAGATTTTTCAAAAATTACAACTTTAGTTGCGTTTTTACAGTTATGACACAAAATACTCAACCTAACCTTTAGGACTATTCAATCTAAAATTTATTATTTTTTTGTGTGTCAAAAAAATAAAAATAAACGGTTTTTAAATGAAGACCACACATGCCACATTTTCCAATTATTTGAGTTATGTACTCTACTATATAAACATAAGCCTGAAGGTTAGCAAAACAGTAAAATCCAACTCAAAAGGCTTATGTAATGCTACAGAAACACTCAAAGAAAACAAAATGCATACAAACATAGCGACTTTCAAAGACAAAATTTATTTCAAAAGTGGAAATGTGTGACGTGTGCCTTTTTTCCACTGTAGTATTTAAATATATGCTGATATTTATCCCAAAAAAGTTAAAAATTTAACTCAGAAAAAGTTACGCTTAGTTTCTGTCGCGTGTTTAAAACTTTCTAAAACAAAAAGAATATCATGTGCCAAGAGTGGCTTTCATTCCGTGAAATTGTATTCTGTTAGAAATACTTTTTTCTTTTCTTTCTGCTCAACATAGTACAAATATTATTTTAACAATGTTCGTATGCATATAGATAACATAAAGTAAAACATAAAAGTATATACTGAAAATATATTAAAATTAAGTTAAAGGTGACAGAGGCTCAAAGAAGATAAGAATAACATTATCTCGTTATCAAAATCTTTTCATATAACAAAAGAAAAACTTTTTTTTATCAAATTTTAAAATTTTCAAAAGTTACTTTTTTTCATTTAAACTTTAATGAATTTAAGGACTTCACCATAAATTTATATTCCTTTTGACAGTCATTTGATAATTTAGGGGTGAAATGCAAGAAGCGAACTTGAGTCAAGCTCGACTTGAACTTTTCATTGCAACCAATAGCGACAGATTATGGGTTTTCCCCTCAAAAAATACTCTGCCGCTATTGGTTACAAAGTAAAGTTCAAGTCGAACTTGCTTCTTGAAGACTTCTATAAGAAATACAAAATTTTGAGAGTTTATTACATTTCCGGGGCAATTTATAGTTGTTGTTTCTATTTAATTTAAGATTATACTTTTCATTTAGATTTATTTTAAATTTATTGTTGAAGTTTAATACAACACTTGAAGTTGAAATACTACACTTGTCTGCTAAAAAGTTACAGATGTTTTTATTATTACATGCTTTTATTTAACTCACGCTGTTATTTTTTATTTATTTTATTTGTTCTTTTATCAAAATTTTACAAATACGTGATCATAATATAAACTGATTCGTTTACAATGTATAAAATAAAATATCATACATAAAACATATAATAACTTTTTTCAGTACAAATATTAAATTTAGCACAAATAATAAATATAAAAAAGTAACACTGTTAAAAGAACGCGGGAAATTTGCAGAAGACCACGTGGTCTTGTCACTTTTAGTTGCGATATTTTTGTATACTTAATTTGTTGAAAAAAATTTCAGTTTAGCAAAGTCTCTTAGTAGCATTAGAGTCACATATAAAAAGCTATTAGATAAACAAAAAGCGAAAAGAGCTGTATTTGATACGCATAAATATATAACTACATGGCTTGTTATAATTAATATATTGACAGACATAAACGAAATATAAATAAAATCTAGTATACTCTTTGCTGTTAATTTTTAGTTTTTTTTTTGTTTTTTTTTTAGTTATTAGTTTTAATATACGTTCGTAAAATTTTTTATGTCAAGAACAAGTTTTTTTAATAATATTTTTAGAGAATTTGGGTAATGTAATTTTGTAGTTGTAGTATTTTTAAAAATTAGTTTATTGTAGAGGTAAGGGCCGCGATGCGAAATAGTGAAACGTGTGTATATTGTATGCGTTAAATCTTGTACTTGATTTTTTTAACTACTTCTACTATCAAGGGTGAATCCATAGAAAACACAATACAACCTCTAATCAGTTTCAGATGCTAAAGGTGTTTAATTAATGTGCAACTAAGATAAACTCTTCGTATGTAAATTTTTTTTTAAAAGTAAATTGATTGTTTTTATGTTATATTATGAAAACTTATCAAAGATATTTTTATGTAAATTGACGTAATAAGAGGTCGTCCATAATTACATCACGCTATAAGGGTGGAGGGGGGAGGAGTTAGTGGTTTTGTGACAACTCATACAAAAATTGTTACTAAATTTAATACACTTTATAAAGTGATACGATGTTGTGAAGAGGAGGAGGGAGTGGGGGTCTGAAATGTTTAAAGATTGCGTGACATCTCTGCATCTTTGCTAAATATATGTCTACGATATTTACATACAAAAAGTTTGTCTTAATTGCCTATTAATTAAACACTTCATCTGAAAATGATTGTGTTATCATCGGAATTTGGCATGTTTGGAAAATATCAGAATATTTGGAATATTTGAAGCGGTAGAAAAATCAATTAAAAAAACTCTGATACAAAAAGTAGAAAATAAAAAAATTTTGAAAATTTTTTTTTAAAAAGGACACGTAATTATTTACATATAGAAAGTGCACTAAAAGAAGAAAATGAAAATATATTTAAAAAAAAAAAAGGTTTTTAAAAATACGTTTTTGCGCTTAAAAAAATAAAATAAGAACTTTCTATGATTTCAGGTGAAATCCGTAAACCTATTCACTGCACTAAAAGCAAACACACAAAAAATTTCTAATTAATATAATAGTAGCACCCCAGTCGGTATTTGGTCCGAAAAAAAACGTCTTTTTTAGACCATATGTTGGCTGGAATGTATATGATCAAAATTGTAAAACTTTTATTGTTTATATAGATTCATTCAATTTTGTATTGTATGTTTCCCAACCTTGTACACGATAGAGAAATAAGTTGTGATGAGCGCCTCACGCTTTTATGTGTACTGTATAGATTCACAGATTTCACCTGAAGTGATAGAAAACTTTTATTTTCTTCTTTTAAGCGCATGAGCGTACTTTTAAAAATATTTTTTTTAATTTATTTTTACAACACTTTGACCGAAATTGCACTTCAAACGTAACAACACGTCGATCATTTGTTAAAGCTGTAAGATACCTAATTGTGAAATGTTTTTATTGTAACTGTAAAAAAAAGCGAAAATAATTGTTACACTCCAAACTGAATTGGTCTTTTACCCCAATATTAGCATGTGTTGTATCGATTTTTTATTCAAGTTATATATGCAAGTTAGTTTATTTAATGTTTTTTTTTTTGTATTTTTACATTTTGAAATAAATAGTACCAAAGTTAAAAAGACCATGACGTCATGTACGGAGTAGTCGGAAACTAGTGAGTAGTCAAAGTTGAATTTTTATCAATTGATCCACGTTATGGATTCAAAGTTAAATAATTTCAATTAAAAAATAACTAAAATCCATAAATACAAAAACATTTACCAGCACAACGCAACGAGTCATTCTTCAGTTTTAGAGTTATGTTGTAATGAAGATCTTTGTTACTTTACCTTTCTTGCTATGGTCTCCGTTAGTTTAAAATATTGACAGAAGAAAATGTGCTTAAGTTAAACAACAATAACTTGCAGGTAAAATTACTAATTTTTATTCAAATATTAATGAAATGCTTTTCTAAATTGTCAAGTATTTTATATTTCGTAACTATATTAATATTTAATATTGTGAATAAAAAATAAAGATATAAACTTATTTTCGTTTGTATTGAAAACTCAATTTTATTCAAAGTATGAATGTTTCTATAGAAACCAATCATATTTTGCTTAAGAAAGCATTTTAGTAACAAACAAGTTGTTGTTTAGTTAATGAAATATTAAAATTTATAGCTACCATAAACCGTAAAACAAAATCCCAGTTGCAAAGAAATTAAATTTCGATTAAAAATAGTGTTTTATTAAAATAAAACACTACGGTATCAGGGGTAATCCGCACAAATAGTTTTCATTTTGCATATGTCATACGTCTAAATATGTTTTTATCAATATCCAAATAAACACATGACGTCTATTAAACATTGAAACAACGTTTAGAAAAAACGCATAGTTTTGGTCGATTATTCGTTTAGAATGAAATCCAGAATAACGTTTAGAAATCCAGAATAACGTTTTAAACCTCAATTAAACGTCGAGACTCAACCGTAATTTCAACGTCTGTTTTAAGATTATTAACATAGAAAAAACGTTTAAATTTAATCATTTAAAAACGTATTTATAGTTTTTAAATTTAGTGTAATATATCTATAATATAAATATGAACTCTTTGAATCGGTGCTATAGCTATTTTATTAAAAATAACATATTGGTCTTTCATTTCTTAGTCTTACTTAAAGGAAGTAACAACCTTGGTATTGTGGTTTATCCTCCTTTGGCTAATTGCCATATAGAGACCACATACTAAGACCCGCAAACAAAAGTTCATCTCACTTAAGTGCCCTATAATCTGCTGAGTTTAAAAAGAGCAAAGAATACTAAAGTGAAAGACTGAAGAAGTTGAGTTAGAAAGATAGTATCAAGATAGCCGACAGATATTGCTCTGGATGTTTTTAAAAACAATTTTTATTTGAATACATTTGGAGCATTCCTGACATTCAAACTGCGCGAATAATTATGGCTAATAATGAAAGTACAGTGCGCTCGGGTGATATTCAGTCATTCAAATGGCTTCATGCTTTCTTTATTCTAATGTTTAATAAAGGAAGAGGAATCAGTAGAATTTTTCACTGAATGTGCAAAATAGGGAAATGTTATTTCACTTAATAATGTTTGTTTTGATCAATACTTTGATTTTTGAATTGTGTAATTTGATTTCCTGATTTGATAGTCCTCATTTAAATGCATTTGCTGACCACCCCTTGTAATAGTTTGTGGCTCAATTTAAGTGAAAAGTCTCATTTAAAAACGAATTTCATTTGCAATTGGACTTTTCTTTTCCGATTTTTCATGTGTGCATAATTTCATATATCTACTAGACACCGGCGACAAAAATTGTAATATGAGTCACACATCACAAAATTATTCTCAGAGCTTTTAAATTTTTTTTTGTTCTGCCTGTTGTGTTTTAACTAATATCAAGAAATTAGTTCTGAAATGAAAAAAAAGCAACTGTGTTTGGTTTTGATGAGTAAAAAATAATAATTTTAATAAGTGTAAGATAATTAATGACTAATCTAAATTAATCAAAATATAAAAAATAAGTTTGTTCACTTTAAGCGAACAAACTTATTATTAGAAGTTATATAAAATGTATTCGTAACTTTCAAAGCGATTCAACTAAATGAGCTTTAACTATATGAACTTTTTCATTTCAAATAACAGAAAAGTTGCATAAAAAATTCAACTATCAACACGCTGCTTCTCAATCGCAAAGAAACGGACTTCCAAAACTACATAAAAATTTTAACAAAAAAATAATATTTTATAAAACATCTCGAAAAAATATTTTGAAAAACTCAACTGAAAAAGTTAATTTTTTTTTTAATTATTCGAGAAAAATCATATTTTTTATGTAATAAAATCAAATTATTATTTTTTATTCATCAACTAACAATTTATTTATTTGTGTTTGTTAATAATATATAACTTAATAATAATATATAACTTAATAATAATATATAACTTAATAATAATATATAACTTAATAATAATATATAACTTAATAATAATATATAACTTAATAATAATATATAACTTAATAATAATATATAACTTAATAATAATATATAACTTAATAATAATATATAACTTAATAAATGTTCATCAACTTTAAAAAAGAAATTTTTTAAAGTTGATGAACATTTTTTTTTTAAACACATTAAAAAAGAGAATTTATTCAATTTTGATGAAGATAAAATAAAGAATATTTGCTATTTTTATATTTTGAAAACTATTTTTAGTGTGTATCCTATAGTGATTTATTTATAAATAAACAATATTATATACGGAGACCATAGCAAGAAAGGTAAAGTAACAGAGATCTTCATTACAACATAACTCTAAAACTAAGGAGTGATTCGTTGCGTTGTCCTGGTAAATGTTTTTGTATTTTTGGAATTTTTTTTTTTTTTTCAATTGAAATTATTTAACTTTGAATCTATAACATGGATCAATTGGTAAAAATTCAACTTTGACTACTCACTAGTTTTTGACTACTTTGTACAAGACGTGATGAAATTTTGTACAAGACGTCATGGTCTTTTTAACTTTGATACTATTTATTATTGATACTATTTATTTACATAGAAAATAGAAAAAAACATGAAATAAACTAATTTGCATATGATTAAACAATCGATACAAAATATGCTAGTATTGGGGTAAAAGAACAGTTCAGTTTGGAGTGTAACAATTATTTTTGCTTTTTTTTACAGTTAAAAAAGCATTTCACAATTAGGTATCTCGCAGCTTTCAAGGTGTTGTTACTTTTGAAGGGCAATTTAATTTGACTCCATAAAGATCTTTTTAACGTAAATATTTCACAAATAATTTTAAATGTATTCTACAAATTAAAGTGCCTAATGTTTATATAAATTAATAAAAAGCTCACACAACTGACATTCCCAATTTTACTATTCTTTAAGTTTAGGTTGTATTGAAGGTTTTTAATAAGTTTACTCTATCTATTTATAGCAACTTCTACAGTTACCTCAGAAATTCAAGATATACCTGAGCTGGTTATTTTTTTAACCTCTTTGAATGGTTTGAATTTATACATAACTATAGTTAAAACAATTTAATCTAACAGTCAAAAAATATGACGTGCTATGGCGCGACCAAGTCGCAACTGAAACAAAAATGCTCACTAATTAAATGTCGCTGAATATTGGTGCTTCGGTCGAGCGCTTAGTCGAATATTTTTAATCTGATTAAAAAAATATATATATATGGCTGATGATTGCCAAAATGGAATGAAACTTTAAGTTCCATCATAAAGTTGTATTTTTTCATATCAGCCATATATAGTTGTATTTTTTAATATCAGCCATATATATTTTTTTATTCTGATTAAACAAATATATATATATGGCTGAAGATTGCTGAAATGACATGAAACTTTAAGTTCCATCATAAAGTTGTATTTTTTCATATCAACCGTATATGTTTTTTTAATCTGATTAAAAAAATATATATATGGCTGATGATTACCGAAATGGAAGTTCCATCATAAAGTTTTATTTTTTCATTTAGTTAATATATATATATATATATATAAATATATATATATATATATATATATATATATATATATATATATATATATATATATATATATATATATATATATATATATATATATATATATATATATATATATATATATATATAGGGGAAAGCGGGGCAACATAGCGAACGTTTTGAAAGCCCTGAGTTATAACAAAACTATCAGTCGTGAAGCAATAATACTTTCTCAGTATGTTTTTGTTATTAAAATCCTTCATTGCCTGCATGAATTTTCAGTTTGCAAATATAACAGTTTGAAATAAATATTAAAATAAAAAGTTCATAAATTTGTCATCTGATCACGTGATCGGGACAAGATGACTTATTATGCTATTTTTACTTCCAGTTTTATAAAATTTTAAAAACTACCAATATCTCTAAATAAAGTAACAAAAAATAAACACAAATTGCAAAAAACAACTTCTAAAGAAGTTAAACTTGAAGGACACCATCCATTATGAGAAACCGAAAGTGAGGAATTTTTTTTTAAGCGCAAAAAGTATACTTATGCGTATAAAATTGCGTTAATAATATTTCAAAAAACCAATTGGTGTTTTAAAATACAAGATGCAAATACAGTTTCGTTTTCACCCAATTTTAAGAATTTTTGTTAAGTTGTTATATGAAAACCCATCTTGCCCATTCGCCATTTTGCCCCGCTTTCCCCTATATATACATATATATATATATATATATATATATATATATATATATATATATATATATATATATATATATATATATATATATATATATATATATATATATACCCAGCGGGCATTTTGACGTCCTAAGAACGTCCGTAAGACGTCTTAAGTCTCGTCCGTAAGACATCCTTAGTTGGTCTCAAATGAAAGGCTTGAGGACGTCTACTCCATTTGTCCTAAAGACGTCTTTTTAAGTCGTCCTAGAGTCGTTTTTTGACGTTCTAGAGATATCTCTGGCTAGTCTAATTTTAAAGACTTAAGGACGTCTTTTTCAGACGTCCAAGAGACGTTTAAATTTTACCAAGACATTCTTTTAAAAAATATATAAAAATGCAATCATTTACAAAACAAACCTTAGATATACCTTAATCTAGGCAAGGGAAGTTATAAAAAGAAATCAATGTAAATAAAGTGTAATTTGATATATTTAAAATAAATTAAATTAAACTTTACAAAAAAAAAGAATAATTTTTTAAACAAAGTTACATTTTCAAATTAAAAACTAATAGGTACAGCAGAATATAATCGATAGTGCATTATAAATAGAAGAAAATTGCTTAAAAAGGGAAAAAAATAAATTTTTTTCATTTCAGCAAGTTGGAATATAATTTTTTTCTAAAACTCTGAAAAGTAAAATATATAAGTGAAG